TTCCCAGTGTTCAATCCTTCCATTGGCAATGAAGATTTATTATTACTTATTTTACAACGCTAACATTGTCTGCAAAAGCTGGCTTCCACAATAGATGGATAAAACGTCATAGAAAAGACACTTTGCACATTTTTAAGGTATTCCGTACTTGCTGAAAAGAGCACAGAAGTCTTGGAATGCAACGTCTTCCAGTTTGTTTCCAAATATCATGAATTCCTTCCACACCCCTCAGTTCTTGGCTCAGTATAGTAATCTAAAAATTACAGTGAATTACATTTTAATGCTTGGTGTTTGAATCACCGAGAGCACCGAATGTTTGGACATTTTAAGTACCCAACTGAAGCCAGGTTTACACTATCAAAGTTTCTGTGATCACAGTAGGAATTTTGTATAGGTATAGGTTTTTAAGGATTTATAACTTATAAGAGATGTTTGAGGGAACTGACTCAGTGTTTAACAGTTCCCTCACATATTTCTTACAAATCCTTACCTATGCAAAATTCTTACTGTGGTCATAGAAACTTTGACAGTGTAAAAACTATAGCCTCAGGTGCTTCTCCATACCTTGTACTTGCAACGAGTTTAAACAATCTGATGTAGCTGACATCGAACGTTTGAGTGGGATGCATCAACTACAGTGCGAAAAGTCAAATGTAAATTATGTACTTTCATTCTAATTCGGTTAATTTTTTATTGTCTTTGAATTGTTTAAATACAGTGTAAAACACCTTTCCGAAAATCACCTTGGCTATATAGCCTCGTTTTCGTGATTGAAACATGTGACACATTTTCCAAAACCAAACATGCAGTTATAATAATGTCAAACTGTCTTTTATATCATAATTACACTACCACGCAGTAGCAACACAGATAGTTCGAAAGTCAACATCTCAGTCACAAAACAAGGTTCCATAGTCAAGACAAAGCAGGGTTGTTAACAAGTCTTATTTTGATAAGTCATTTAGTCTCGGATTCCAAGTCAAGTCGTTTTGTCTGACCAAGTCAAGTTGCAATTCTGTACAGTTCTGTATACCATGAACTGGGGAGTCACCCATGACAATCATATATAATATACATTACAACCTCACGGTCATACTGCAGTATTACAAGCTCACAGTCATTACAAGCTCACAGTCATACATGGGCATATGCCAATCCCCATGGCTGCACTAGAAAAGTTAATTTTCACCAGAAGTCAATTTGTTGGAGTCCTGCAAGTCATTACGTCACGAGTCGTTATTGCCACTCAAATCCGACTCGAGTCCAAGTCACATGACTCGAGTCTACAACTCGGAGGCAAAGCACTTTCCGGAAGTGTGATTAGCCAAGGGCGGATTTTCATTTATTTAAAAGGAGGGGTATAAAAATTTCTGGTGGGGTGCAAGCGGCACCACTCAGTGAGCTTCGGGTAGGGGTTAGGCGTTTGGTTTAAAACCTTGTACACAAAATAGGAGGGGTGAAGCGAAATTTTGGTGGGGTTGAACACTTTATTAGAGGGGTTATAGAGAGATTCTAGGAATTAGCAAACTCTAATTGAATTAGCAAACTCTAACTCTTTCTCTAAGCAGACATCTTAGTTCTTACCACCATGATATGACAGACAGAGAACATGAACAATAAAGCTTTTGCATATTGATATTCTTGATGTTGCCATGCTTTGTGTGCCTCCTATGAAAATACAGTAAAAGCATAACACTACACGAAGAAAGCCTTACAAATACAGCTGTACCGATCTGCTCATAATCGATTAATAATGATCAACAATCAGTTCGCAATGTATTAATCGCAATACATCAAGATAAATTTACAATAGGTTACCCATTGTTATCAGTATAACAATTAGCATATAATCTATAGACAATTTATATATCGTAAAAATTTAAACATTTCGCTCAATTTTGATTCTGGGCAACAACATTTTTCAGGCACAAGAGGAAAGAGTAAGAAACTGTATGGGCCCGATCACCGAGACGTTCCGCTTTCCTGGAATCTTCCTATAGAGTATAGAGTTATTTTACCATAAAAATTTCCATCGTATTAATTATTTGAAGCGGGTGGATCCCGTTGCTGAGATCTCGGTAGACTTGCCACAATCTCGGTTGTGCTAGCCGAGACCATCGACTTATAATTAGCAGCTTATAACTATAAGGATGAAGTCAAGCAAACAAAATTTCTGAATTGGCCGTTTTATTTGTCGGTTTTTATTTAGTTTTATGTTTTTGTAAGAAAAAAACAACAAAAATAGGGTATAATGCTAAAGCAATTGTTTTCATTCCGTATAAAACAGTTTAAAATAACAAAATTGTTAAAATACTTGCGTTGCATGAGTGTTTTGCAAGAGCCATAATTATTGTAATTACACTGGAATTCCTGACAGCAGGAGGGATAAAAAAATCATATGAACACACAGAAATATTCGTCGAAGCGAGATATCTCGTTAGGCGGTCTAAATCTGTATGAAAGTATTTTCGGTTTTCAAGTAACATTCCCACGCTGCGAGTTGTGAATTTGGAATTTTGTCGTTGCAGTCCAACAGACTATATGTTGATAAAAATAATCGATTGCTGAAAAAGATATCGATCGATTAATCGGCAGCAGCTCTATATATTCACGGATGATTTGCAAAATAAGTGCATGCATGCCCACTATGTGTGTGCCAAACTTCACAAGTGTTTAGTGTTTACTTACAGCAAGTGGAATATTTTCATTCAAAATTTCACACAGTTTACACAACATTGCTCCGTCATGAACGGTTTCCAAATGAAGATAAAGTGTACGTTGTTCGACGTCGTGGAAAATTTCTATTTCACACTACACAAGAGATGTGAACGTCTTCAGGCAATTATACATTCCGTGTACTAGTTTTAAATTTGCTTCGGTTCAAATGTTTTCCAGTAACAGAATTTAAACTTACCGGGTCAGAATTTGTCATTTTGAAGAAATTCTCCGCCTTCGGAAAGAAAGAAAGAAACCTTCACTTATAAAATAAAATGTATATTATGTATATATTATAATATGTTTATTATATTATTTTATATAGTTTATATTATATGTTTATTTTAAGAAAATGCATGGGCATGAGCAGCAATAGCGTAGCATGAAGTTGAAATCCATAAAATCTTGTGGCATTTAAGGCCAATCTAAAAAGATCTTCATATTCGAAACGTATAGACAATTCTTGTAAATGCATCTTGTGATATTTCAGCTTATAAACTAGAAGTAATAGACTTAATCGAACCCATAAAAACCGTACAAAATCATAGAAACATAATGGAATATTAAATACTAAAAGTTCCAGATTTGTTTGCATATATAACGTGTAAGACTTCTTAGGTTGCAAACAGTGGGAAGGTTTATTGGGATAAAAGCTCTCCTTTGTTCTCGATGCGTAAAAATTGCTCACACATTTAAAAACGTTTGCTATTAAAATATTCAAACGAAAACTATAACCCCTGCTGGCGTCGCATATACACATATTCTCGATGTGTCTAAAGTGAAACCGGACTATTATTTACAAGTATGGCGCAAGCAGCTAAAAAGCTTTGGAAAAACGACATTGTGAAGTTCATCATTCCACTCCAGTATCATCAACGAGGCTGGCCGACAGGAAAAGGATCTGTGATAGTATTGAGCAAAGTCAAAATTTACTATGCAAAATCTAGGATAGAGCTCTTATCTGACATTCATAGATATCAAGGGGAGAAAATCCACTCGGAGATAGATTTTCTTAAAAAACTCAGAGATAAAATTGAAAAGGAAAAAGGTGCTGGACGCCAAATGGAAAGAATAGAAGCGGATCTGGTTCAAAACTACTCGCCTTGTTCGGAATGCGCAGATGTCTTCGTCAAATTTAAAGACTTTCGAAAACGCGAGGGCATTAAATTTTCTTTAAAAATAGAGTTTGCGAATTTTTACCGTCATTGGGAGACGCCGTACATAAACGGGTTAAAAAGGCTGTTGGAAAATGGTGTAGCATTGAAATTACTTCACGGCGAAGATGATTGGCGAGCGTTCCTAAATGATAAGACCTTTGTGGAGTTAACCGAGCATGAAAAAGCAAAATTGCTTGACAGGGCAAATTCAGAAGACAGAAAGAAAAACGAAAAGCAAGCCATAAAAATCTTTAACAACATTAGACTTGGGAACGACATTGCAGGACTTGGGAATACGAGCCAGCCTTCAGGAAGTAAAAAGAAATAAGAGCAATGTTCTCATTGTAAAATTAAAACTCACCGCTTCGCGTTAGCATTATACATGTCGCTTTATAAATAATTAATTGCACAGCTAAATATAGCTCAACAAAGATCGAGTCACTACACAAACAGGCACCATTAAAACCATAGAGTTTAGGTTGAAAGATGGTAGTAAGGGTCTCATTTATCATAGCTCACTTAGAGTTTTAATAGATGCGACTATGGCAATAATTACGGTATGTTTAAAGAAGATTCTAGAATTTTTACTTGAACTGCATGTATGTGCCAGTGTATAGATAGTGGCAATAATAACAAGCTTTCGTTGGTAGGCTAGGCGGATGCAACTATCTGAAAAATATAAGGAGAATTTCGACGTTTCGAGCGAAGGCCGTTCGTCGGGATGATCTGAACGAAGGCCCTTCGCACGAAACGTCGAAATTCTCTTTATATATCCAGGTGATCTCGTGTTCGTATTTTAGCCAATCAGCGCTCAGAAAGGGTTGTCCGAATAGAAATCCATTTTGATGTATTCAGTCAATTATATCTTTCATTATTCTTTATGAAACTAGTTGAAATTTTGTAATT